TACACGCTTACAAAGGAAAAGACTTGTGAAAACGTCTGTCGCGCATTGAAGAATTTCCCAACCAAGACGTAATGAAGGAAAACAAAATGCAAATATCATAATTACAACCTACCAAATTTATGTGTATAAATTTTAGGCAGCTTCTTGTTCGAAGAATGTATCCGTTAATATTCACACAAAGGAACAATATCCCACTCGTCTGCAGCTGTACAAAGAAACATATTTGATGTCATGTGTCTCTGTAACAATCAAATATTTTAAAAGATATATATCGTTTCGGGATATTATAATCCGTGTTCGTTTCTCAACTGATCACTTGGATTGTTTCAGGTGTTTCACATAGGTGTCAAGTCTCAAGGGTGGGCTGAGAAAGCCCACGTGACAACTATTTTCATAACGTCCACGGTTCCTAAAAAATCCATTGAGTGATTGATAACAACGATCAACCAATCAACGTATTATCAACCGATAATTCTGATCATTCACCTCTTGGTGGGCTGCCACGTGCATATTACATAACACACATTTCACCTCACTTCAAACCTGGATTTAGATTGAATAATTACCCAAGACACAATAAATGCCAAATGGGAACCTTTGTCAGGTAATCTAAGTGGTGCTACCACTAATTGTACCTGTAATTCATTAACTGAGCATCAAGTGAATGACAACAAATACACAAGTGTAGGGTTATACGAGAAAACGTAAATGACAACAAGGGAGTAGTAATCGTATTCTCGACGAAATCCGAAAATGCTTTCACTGCATGGATACTTTTTTAGTATTAAACTATAACCATCTGGGGTATTTCCAAATGACGCTTCCGAAGAGCACCGCTGTTCTTTCTGTCTGTTTGTTTAGGCTGAAGAAATTAATTAACATGCGCCCTTTGTCGAAATCTTTATAGATCACAGTTAACCAATTAGTGTTTATGCAAAAATGCGTAAAACAAATATTGCCTCCAGCCTCCAAGTTTATTTAGCTGTCCTTGCAGACGGTAGCCCAGTCTCTGGTCACGCTCAGTTGCGTTGCGTATCATCCGGGTACTCACGGGGAAAAAAGCAATAACAAAGGCAACAACCAGTCCGGGGAAATTGCGTTAGATCAGTGCCCCTTTAAGGTATAAGGACAAGAAGACATTTTGCCCTTTTATAAGGGTTTTGCTATATATAACATATATGTTATCATTATAAGGTGAGTGAGTGAGTGAATATTGCTTAACGCCGCATCAGCAATTTTGCAGCTATTCGCGGCGTATCATTATAAGGACTAGTGGACTTAACATAAGTTTCTACCACTGAGCTGGCTCCGGGAAATCACTTTTACGGTGTGTTCAATCAGCATGCAGAATGTGTGTGACCCAGATTGTTGGGAGGTGACCTTCGCGATGGGAAGTATGTTCGGATCAATTGTTTTTTTCAGAAGCTCAAACCTTATTGTTTAACTCTCTGGATGCCGAGTGATTTACTTCATAAAAAGAGGTAATAGAGAAATGGATGGTCCTATCTAACCTATAACTTATTCCCTAGAATCCAACATTCTCCTGAATGTGTGAGTGTAATTTGACTAATGTTGCACCATTAATAAAGGAGCCTTAGCCTTATCATCAAATGTAATGAAATACCAAAAAAATAGCACCATTCTATCTGATGTCATTGCTGGTTTTATGTCTTTGATAACGTCGAAGAAAGATGACACTGGTATTTTGATTAATATATATCTCCCCTAATTTTTGTTCAAGGTATGGAAAATCTCTGTGGAAAACGGAATTTGATGCTCTTTCGACACAACATAAAATGACTGCTTTCACCATGTTAATAATATCTTGAATATATAAACAATTAGATAGCTTATCGTGTATCTTAATTTGACAAGACACGCACCTGTTTGGCACCAAATTACGTAATGAAATACCCAAAAGAGTATTTCAAAACACCCAAAATTATATTATTGGACATATATTTGTTCATTATTTTGTTGGGGGCACGGGTGGCCCAGTCGTCTAAGGCTCAGCGATTCGCTGTGCAGAGTTGCGTCCCTTGGGCACGCCAGAAACCTATGATTGTGGGTTTGAACCCCGGTTCGCCCCGATTATGTTTCTAGGTTTGTCAGCACCATGCCCGTGCTCGTGGGTTTCACCGAAGTGGTAAACGTCTGAGACCTGCATCACTTCGGGCTTTCCTCCCACGTACCTGGAGAATCGTTAGATATCACTGTTCTCTGTATCAAAAAATTCGAAGACCAAGACAATTCTTTCAGAAATGTGAGCATATATTTTAACGGAAAATATTATCCATTTTGTTTAAGTAATATAGTCATGGACATTGGTTAGATATGAACTATATATTGACTATTACACATCCAAAGAAATGTGTACATGCTGCAGTTACTGTAATACATTTACACTTAATCTTGTAATACTTGTCCAAAGGAAAGAAATATCGTTTCTGACACTATAAACCTATCAATTCTAATGTAAACAATGTTCAAACAAACAGGAGATTATCAAACGTTCGTTCATGCATGTTGTGACCTATATTTACGTATGATATCATTTTGAACATTGACAAATATCCAAAGTGAAATTAATTGTGTGAAAAAATGTATAAAAGATGCAAAATCTACATCATAGCTGAAACTGTAAACAACATGATACAATGATCATGTGCACTCTCAATCATGGACCTTCACCTCAAAGAAATTACCAAATATGTACAACAATGTTGACTTATGACATCACTACCTGTGACAGACTTTTACAAAATGGCTTGTTCACTGTCAACAGTACGCAGGATTTACGAGGGGACTTGCATTAAATCAGGGATTGTATATAATTTGACATGTAAGGAATCAGAAACATTCTGACAATCTATGTACTGTTATTTGTTGTTGTACTTTTCATTGAAACCAATGGAAATAGTCAGAAATTCCGATAAATACCATTGTTGTGCCTGATTTTGCTTCTGTCAGGGCGTCACACAGGACAGTAACTGTTGAAAATATCAAATCATTGCAATGTATCTATTTTAAATTCCTATGATTCTCTTCCTATGCATATTCTGAAAATGTTGAGCCAATATCTTGAACGAATAGACGAATGGATATATCTAAATAGGAGAAAATGCTACACTGTGTAAAATCTGAATTTCGCTTTTACATTTTAAACAAATGCAGTTTTTTTAGCACAGCGTTTGTTTTAACATCGAAGTTATTTTGCTTGATTTCATCTTGGCACTTTGTATTGGTGACAAAGACCATTAGTCATTTGATTCTAAAATGTATGAGGAATTTGATGTATACTTTCATACTTTAAAGTTAACACTGTTTCTTTTATGCTGATTGGCTGAAGGGGTAGTCACGTGATCTAAAATTTGGAGTTCACACACCTGTGAACGACAGAAAAGTTCACATAATGTGAATTTTTTTGGTGTGAAATTGATCGTGTGAACTTTTGCTGGAACTACTTTCCAGGGTTTCCCCGAATCCTTGATTGGTGTTTACAATCAATTCGTTTTTCTATTTTGTTTTTAATCACTGCATTTATCGGCATTAAATTAATTTAGTATTTTTGCCTGGTCTTGTAACATTTCATCTGACTTATAAATAAATGAATGCTTTGGTTATGGTGTTCGATGGCATCTAGTTGCTACATGAAACAAAATGGATTGTCCTTACGATGATTTTGATATGGAATGGCTATCTATCAATACTTATAATGCAAGTGAAGAAAATGAATTCTGTCAAATTACTGAGGTTAACGAAATTGATTTATTAAGCGACATCTACTGTCATGCCTTGTTTTCGGAAATAACAGGACACTAGCATCAAGACAATTGCGAATGAAAACAATGTTGTAGACTAGATCTACCCGGCTCAGATGTTGCCGCTGACACAGATCAAAGCGACTGCCCTTGATCAATCCCAAACTATAAAAACTGATTCACCATCGTATCGGAAAAAGACCTAAGGTTTCCATAACTGTTCTATAAACTGAATCCACAATTGATGGTTGACCTCTCCTCGATGCATCCTGTCATGTTTATGATTTTGTTTACTTTCCTGTTACCTATTTTCAAGATTTGATTAATCCTAAAAATATCATTTGTCAATGTGTTCAGAGATTAAAATTTAGTTGATGTTGACATATTTTTAAGAACTTAAAATTTGAGCAAACATTGTTACGATATTATTTGGCGAGACCAATAAACTACAAAGTATGAAATTATAAGAATTGAACGCAAGCTCGGAGGTTCACACAGTTTAACCAGCGCTTTTTAAATCGTTCACACTTCAATGAACCCATCCTAACTGACGTTTAATTCTTATATGTACGGCAGCTAAGTTGAAATATACCTGATGTTACCGGCGTCTCATAACCGGTGTAGTGAAACATGATCTTGTAAACAATATCCAATATGTCGGAATGTTCACTTCGGCGTTCGTGTTTGTGTATTTTCCAAAACATTCGAACTGATTCTAGCTATCGTGGATGTTATGGAATGATCATTGGTGATTTCGGAAAAGACAGATACCCGTGATCACTAATATGCTATTTTTTAAATGCATTTCTCGGAGTAAATATCTGAAATTTATATTTCCAAACACGCTGTAAATAACGCTGTGAGTGGTGATTTAGTAATGTGTTAAAAATGGCGACATTTACGATGTACCTACTTTCAGAGGTCATTTTCAGTACTATTGCTTGGCCTAAAATGCCAGTGGATGATATTACAGAACATGGAATTTCCCACCTTATTCAAAACTATGAAGTGTATCTGTGTGCGTGATGTATTTTGAATATTATTTGACTTGGAAGTGAGGGTTGTAGAGGAGGGACATATATATATGTCCTTCTGGCATCCAAAGGGTTAAGCACAATTTCCTCTTAAGTGTGAGATAGGATAAGAATACAGATATACAATTTATTGTAAAATTTTCAATATTTTCTGCATAGATAAAGAGGAAAAGCTAATGATACATTTTCATTTCATATATTTCAGGTCTGGAAGTTTGCTGAAGTTGATCATCTTTATCAGCCTTCTGTTTGACCTGGCAGTATCCCAAGATCCCCCAGGTAGGTTCATTATCTTACTTCACTATCATCTTCACAAACATTTCTGCATCAAGTTTTATCAGTTTTTGACTGTAATATACACAAAACTGTGGTTACTCCTCTCAAACTAAACAGTTAGACACTTCTGCAGAGACATGGCTAATTTTGAACTAGCGTTGTAATCATGAGTTATAATTTTCTATAATGTATATATCACATTCATTTCATGTATGTTTTTTCAGTGAACTTAATGAGACAAGCTCCCGTTTGTCAAACAAGTTTCATTCAAGGCTTATTTACTGTGGTTACTGTTTCCTCATCTTTGACTGAGCTTAACAGGGTTTGCCCTGACACAGAAAACTTGCGCATTTGACGCAACCTAAGTGGAAAATATGCAATATAATTTCTCCATTGTGTTAGTCATGACACACACATAATTCAGACAGTCAAAATCAATTAATTGCACAATGCTTTCGGAATATTAAGATTTGAAATGCACATATCCCTTGACAATAAGACCCGTGAAGATTCCGGGGTAGAATAGGTCTTCAGCAACCCATGCTTGCCGTCAAAGGTGACTATGCTTGTCGTAAAAGGCTACTAACGGGGTTGGGTGGTCAGGCTCATTGACTTGGTTGATGCATGTCATCGATCCCAATTGTGTGGATTGATGCTCATGATATTAATCACTGGATTGTCTGGTCCAGACTTGATTATTTACCGACCGCCGTCATATAGCTGGAATACTGCTGAGTGCGGCGTAAAACAACAAACCAACCAACCTTGACAATAAAATATGACCAGTATTAGCTGTGTCTAAAGTGGAAAAACCTAATGTCTAAAAATAGAGCAGTCTCACAGCAGGATAAGAGAAACAATATATATTTTTAGATTATTTTCATGTTTTAGATATTTGTCTATTTATTACTAAATCTGACATCAGTTAATGTATGTTGGTCAGTTAAGAGGCCTAGTTTTAAAGGGCTGGGGCAAACCCTGGCTAAAGAAGATTATATAAGATTAGTCCAAGACAAAAGTTCTGATTGAAAGACATGATTTGTTTAATAGTGATGCTCTGAGCCTTTTGATGCCATGATACTTGAATTAATACCAAGAAAAGTGAGTCATATACTCTGTTCTAATCATTCGTGAGTCCTGCGATAGATCAAAGGCAAATGCGGCAATTCACAAACTCAAGTGAATAATGTCATTAATTCATGGAGTTTGGCGAGGCAAGCATACCTTGTCAATTAGGGCTGGGACGAGTCCAAATTTACTACCTGGGTGCCCACACCCCTGTTACATGCCCTATCTGAGTACCCGCTGTATGTCCCAAGAGATAGGTCCAAATGTCTGATCGGGAACAGTTTGATCGTAGCCCTGGCAAAATACTCTCTTAAAATGATCTGGTCATGCATACACTGAAGTTGACAGAAGTTGTATCTATATTTAAACATATACTGAACTGCAAAAGAAACGTAACCATGGATAGATATATGAGAAACCTTATTTGTCCAAATAGTGTAAACATACTTTATGACATATTAAAAAGATGAAACTTGGCAAAACTGATCATCAAGGTTGAAATTAAAGTGTCAAATGTTCTTTAAGTGAAACACAACACTAGTCTCTGAGAAAATGGCATCACAAGTCAGTATCTCGTGTGTCCGCCATGTGCATTGATAACTGCCGTGCAAAGTCTATACATGGAAGAGATGAGGTGGTTGATGAAGGCCATAGGCACTTTGAGCCCACACTCTGAGGAACGCCTGACACAGTTCAGCTGCAGTTTTTGGCCTTGGTTGGACGTCATTCAGTCGTCTTTGAATCTCGTCCCACGTGCACAGGTGCTCAATGGGATTTAATTCGGACTGAGGGCAGGCCACTGCATGGTTCTGATGGCATTCTGCTGGAGGAAGTCTCTTGTTGCTCTCACAGTGTGGGCATGGGCGTTATCGTGCTGAAACTCATGGTTGCAGCGATGTGCCAAATGAGATATGGCGTGTGGTCTCAAGACTTGATCAATGTACCGAGCTGCTGTGACACCATTGTTTCTACCTGGACCAATGTTCTGGAAGACCACAGGGCCGACCCTCTGTGCAAGACCAATTCCACCCCACACCATGATGCGTGGACCACCCCACGAGTCTCTCTCAACTGAAGAGGACTCTTCTCCACTGCTGGTGGTGCCAATGCTGGTGGTGTGTTGCTCACTGAAGACAGTCCCGGCGATGACGTGATGTCAGAATGGGTCCTTGGTGTGGCCTGTGACAGTGGAGGTGTCTGCTAGTCAATCGTCGACGCATGGTGTCTGCACTATGGCCCCCATGGTCTGTCGAGCAGTTTCCGCAGCAGTAACAAAGCGATCTTGAAGATCCTGTCACACAATCTGACGATCCTGACATCGGGTGGTGACCCATGGTCTGCCACTACGTGGTCGGTCATCTGTAGTGTTGGTGGTCTGGTTTCATTGCTGGAACCTGTATATGGTCCTTACGTGGACTTGAAATGCATTGGCTACTTGCCGGGTGGTTTGTCCAGCTTGCAATCATCCAAGGGCTTTGTGTTGCTTATTTCTTATAACGAATTCAATAACACATTTAATTCAATAACGAATGAATGTTATCCGATCTGGGTTGATTTTTATTGGGCAAGAAATGGGGGAGCGCATTTGCATTTCAATTTGCACGGAACTCACGTGCATCGGGTTAACATGGCAGTTGCCATGATGCGTTTGGGCGATTGTTTTTATTGTCATCTGCTTTGTTTTTTTATCATCAAATTTCATTTTTCCGGACAGGTAATGTTTCATTTTAGAAACTTTGACAAAAATTACCCAGATATTTAAACGACATCTTTTCATGCAATGTTACTTGCGGTGACGTTTCTTTTGCGGTTCCGTATACATAGTCAGAAGGAATGGGTGCATAGTCAGAAAGAAATGTGAACATTATTCACTTATAGTGTAACCGTAGAGTTTCAGATAATTTGTTGCCATTAAACAATATATCACATGATTAACCACTGGTCCGGGTTGTCCTGTTGGTACCTGGGTTCTACTTAGTGCCTATCCGACCCAAGTACCCGAGTTACCCAGCCCTATTGTCAATGCATCTCTGTTGTTTTGATCATCTGAACCCTGTCGGGATTCTGGGTTATTCGCAACGCCCAATTGTAGAGAATGGAGCAGAAAAGTTTGGTTTTTTTTACTGTGCCCCAATCATGCCAATGGACGCACAATAACATTCATTGTACAGCTACACCGAATCAAGAGCAGTTATGAGCATGATAAGTGTCTGTTGTTTCATCCATCAATCATGACCACTGTGCACATAATCATTGTATCATTCCAGTCTCTAAAGTAATTATCAGGGGTGATAGGGGAAAGGAGATCTCTTCTTTGCCCCTGTCACTTGATCAGAGAAACATGATATTTCACTCGAGACATGGAATATTCTATTTATTATGATATTTTTGTCGTCTGGAAAATTAAGTAATTTCATTACGCTTAATCCACTAATGTAGTATGATGTCTTCCAAAACAAACACCTTCCTTAACTTGTTACTGGTGGACTGCAGAAAATGAGCTTAACTCCTGTTAAATGAACCCCAATGCACCAGCCGCTGCCAAGCAACCCATGTTGCAGACCAATGCAGTGACAGCTGCCCTACAACACTACCGTTGCCAACGAACCCTTTTGCTTTGCAGATAACGCTGCCAGGCAAGTACCATTGCCAAATAATGAGCGAGGACAACTATTGTTGTAAAGGTGACCATCCACTGTAAAGCAGACACTAAGCCATCTGCTGTAAAGCAGAATGGATAAATTGGTTCCTGCTGTAAAGCGGGCAAGTCTATCCTATATAATTATTCCCTGCCCCAATGAAGTTGGCGGGGGATATAGAAATGGGTTCTGTCCGTGTGTGTGTGTGTGCGTGTGTGTGCGTGTGTGTGTGTGCGTGCGTGTATGTGTGTGCGTGTGTGTGCGTGTGTGTGTGCATGTGTGCGTCCCGAAATCGTTTCTGGAGCATAACTCAGAAACCGTTAAATATTTCTCTATGAAACTTTGCATGTCTATCAGACTCATGCTGAACTGGTGCCTTTTGCTATTTAGGAATTTTATAAATTTTTATTTCTTACATTTCCATGGCAACAAGTTGGACTTAGGTTCTATGAGGGTGCTGTTCGTTTCCGGAGCGTAACTCATAAGCCATTAAATACTTTCTTACAAAACTTTGCATGTCTACTAGGCACATACTGAACTGGTGCCTTTTGCTATTTAGGAATTTAATACATTTTTATTTCTTACGTTTCCATTGCAACAAGTTGGACTTAGGTTCTATAAGGGTGCTGTTCGTTTCCGGAGCTAAACTCAAAAACCCGTTAAATAATTTCTTACAAAACTTTGCATGTTTACCAGACACATACTGAACTGGTGCCTTTTGCTATTTAGGAATTTTATAAATTTTTATTTTTTACGTTTCCATTGCAACAATTTGGACTTAGGTTCTATAGGGTAGAGTTTGTTTCCGGAGCATAACTCAAAACCCATTCAATACTTTCCAACAAAAACTATGCATGTTTACCAGACACATACTGGACTGGTGCCTCTTGCTATTTAGGAATTTTATAAATTTTTATTTTTCACGTTTCCATGGAAATAAGTTGGACTTAGGTCCTACAGGGGTGGTGTTCGTTTCCAGAGTGTAACTCAAAAAACGTTAAATACTTTCTTACAAAACTTTGCATGTCTATCAGGCACATACTGAACTGGTGCCTCTTGATATATAGCACTTTTAGAATTTTTTATTGTTTATGTTTCCATGACAACAAGTTGTATTTAAGTTTTAATATAGGATTGGTTTACTTTAGTAGTATAACAAATAAACTGTTAAAAATATATTTCCTTGCCAAACATTGCATGTCTATATATAAAGCGCATACTGAACTAGTGCCATTTGATACTAAGGAGTTTTAGAAATGTTTATTTTAGAATTTCCATTGCAGCTATTTTAACATGGGCTAAAAGAAATGTTGGGTCTGTTATCTGTTTTGGGACCATAACGTGTTAAAATGGGCGGGGGATATAGATGACTTTGTCAACTATACGCTTGTTTATAATTTGGGATGTATCCCAAAATGCCAAATGTAACTTGTAATGCAGTCAACCAGCACCTTGCCACAAGAAGGTGTGTCCCCACAACCACGACCAATTGTGCTCATGTCCACCCGCGGTATATCTACAAAGATAATGTTTCCTACAAGCATACTGCAGACAGGGAGCTGCGAATGTTTTGTGCAAATATGTCAAGTCTGGCTGGTGACAAATGAACCCTGTCACGGCCTGAAATTGATACCAGGGGAGACTATTAAAGTATACGAAAGCTTCAGTCTGACCCTTTGATCGTACTGTTAGGTATGCTTTAATTGCAGCCACTGGAATCACATTGTGGCCAGGTATCGCAGAAATGAAAACAACTATACCTTGTGACCTCCTGTCTGTTTTTGAATGCCTTAGAGCGACTGTTACTGTCTTATTAGTGTCTTGGACTGCTATGTCTGTCTAATTAGGCACACCCGGGCTGAGAATGTTTGGTTTGCACGAGTTCACTCACCCGTAAGAAACCAAAGAAGGCCAAGCAATATACTGCTTTGAACAATCTTACTTCATAGGTAGGAGAGCAGGCAAATTGCAGGATGTTTACAATTACTTTGAGAAGGTCTATTGTTATTGTTTTTCTGTGATCCTGCCTTCCCGAACACTTTTGCATCCCGGTAATCATGTGATGCCCTGAATGCTTGCAATGCTTGGGTTCCTGCTTGGTAAATTGCCCACGTGTTTGCTGCCAAGATCGCTGAAGAAGCCGCTCTGTCTCTGTCCCAGAGATTGTCTGGAAGTGGCATGGGATGCAGGTTCGCTGCTGGAGGTGCATTGCGGATTTATCGTTCCCACTGAAATTTCGACAATGCAATAATATTGTCATGTGTCATTATATATCTCGCCTTAAACAAAATGTTGTTTTTGAGGCTCTGCAGCACTAGCTGCCTAATCAGTGACTAGATTCTTGGTGCCTTTGAAGACTGATTATTATCCCCCGCCACGAAGTGGAAGGGGGATGTAGGAATGGGTGCTGTCCGCCCGTCCTTCCGTATGTCACATTTCGTTTCCGGAGCAGAATCCAAAAACCGTGTGAGATATCTCAACCAAACTTGGCAGATAGATAGGTCTTGTGGTGAATTGGTGCCTTTTGATAGTTTGGGATTTAAATTTTTTTATTTTTCCAGTTTCCATGGCAACAACTTTGACTTAGACTGAAAATGGTGGTAATCCTCATTTCCGGAGCAGATCTTGAAAACTGTACAATATTTCTTCACCAAACTTGGCACATAGATAGGTCTAGTGGAAAACTGGTGCCTTTTGATAGTTTGGGATTTTTAAAAAAATTATTTTTTCGAGTTTCCATAGCAAGGACTTTGACTTAGGCTGAAAATGGCGTTAGTCCTTGTTTCCGGAGCAGATCTTGAAAACCATGCCTTTTGATACTTTTGGAGTTTTTACGAATGTTTCCTTAGCAAGATCCCACACCTGTTTCTCAGAGTCCGCCCAATTTTCTCCAATCATGCCCTCTATGCCATGAATAATGAGATTGTTCCTCCTGCTCTGGGCCTCTTCTTTATCAACAAGAGTTTCTAGTTTAGATATTCTTTCATTGAGTTCCACATTTTACGACCTCAACTTCGAAAATTCATCTTTAATTTCATTTCTGAATGTATCAAACTTCCTATTACGTTTTCCAATGTGCGATCTTATAAGCTTCAAAACATCAGTGCTGTCATCCTTGTATTGGTCAGAATCGCTATTGTTTGAATTAACATCACTCGTGAACGCTAGAGTAGACTGTCTAGTTGCCTTACTACGAACACTCCTACCGTCACTGCCCCGACCCTGCGGGCCTGGGTTCAACTCCACATCAGAACATATTTGTAAGAGTCGTAGTATGTACAGGAAGTAAATACAGGCATAAACGATGTTAATTTCACCAACAACACATGATGTCTTGCACATTATCTTGTCAAACTGACTGGTGTACATTTGACCATAATAAGACATTCAACATCCACTCACATGTAAAAACAAATTCAACATGAGCAATATCTTAAAATGTCTTGTCAAATATGATCCCGATACTTTTAGTTCTTTCAGTAATCGACTTGGATTGCGTCGACATGGTGTAAAACACCCGATACGGCCTCGCCAACATTCAAGTGAGTCTCCCATTTTGCACATGAAATCAGTGATTGTCACGGGAGACTGGTGCGTGACAGCGATTGAGAAGCCAAGCCTTCTGATGATGTCAGACTATTTCTTCTCAAAACGACAATAAATTGTAATTGATCTGAACATTTTTGTCACAACTGTACTCACATACGTTTTGTGTATCTTTCACCGTATTATTGTTGTTATTGTTGATGTGTTTTAGTCCATTTTGAACTCTTTTCATCTGCTTGACGTGAACACGTCCGATCACACCTGACGCATGTATCTACAATAGCCTCTGCTTTTGTTAGAGATTATGGAAATGTGTTTGCTTTTGTTTAGATGCTTGCACAACATACACTCCATTTCCTGATTCTGACCGTCGTGGCATTAACTACACACTGAGTAATGGAGAATCCAGCATTGACGACAATGAGTTGACTGAAGGATGGTACGGGGACAGGAGGTACACTCTGGTCGAAGAATCCCCTGGATTCTACAAATGTGGAGGATGGTACCCAATATATATACAAGGTACTCACCATTAACAGTTGAAATATTGACTCTTCATATTAAATAGTGATCAATATATTGCCTGTTGGCTACAAAATACAGATTATTTTATATGTGATACATTTCTTATGTGTACCCATGCTTACCTAAAAGGTGCACCCGTGAAGATCCAGGAAAGAATAGGTCTTCAGCAACTCATGCTTGCCGTAAAAGGCGACTAACGTGATCGGGTAGTTAGGCTTGCATGTCATCAATCCCAAGTGTGTGGATTGATGCTCATGATGTTAATCACTGGATCATCTGGTCCAGACTCGATTATTTACAGACCGCCATCATATAGCTGGAATATTGCTGAGTGAGGCGTTAAACAACAAACCAACCAAATGTTATGCTTTCTAGTTCATTAAATTCATTCAACTGAGATTTAGAGTATACACCACTTTCTCACATTATGCATTTCTTCTTTATTCTTCATTCCTATGTGGGAACAAGCATGAATATAGTTTCCAGCTTCTAAAAAACAATGCGCCCGAACACATCCCAATATCACTGTGCAGCAAAAAGGCCATGTACTTGATCCCGGGCACAGCGACCTTACAAAACCTGATCACATCTCTAACAGTACCACATCATTCTCTTTCGCAACGCCTCAGAGTTAGGTTGATTGCAGATGTTTGGGATGTCCTTATTACTGCTCCTTTGGACATCCCTGCGTCTACATCTTAGTCGATCCTTTGAGTTTACAACCATGAACATTCCTTCCAACACCTCCGAACATTCATGCTCTTGCTGACATCATCCACTGTTTCTTTAATTACTGCTTCAAGGATGCTATTCTCCTGACCACTCATCTAAGGATCGTTCCTTGACAGTTTTACAAAACAGTTTCGAAGACACGATCCCAAGATTGGCTCTCCCCCACTCCAAACTCAAAGACCGGCATTCACATTCAACAAGTGGGGATCATTGGAATCACCACTCTCCCTCACACGAATCGACGCTCCAGTTCGTCTGACAGGTCTCAACGCTCTCAATCTCATGATCATGTTCAGTGCTACTAGGATTGTTGATCCCTCATGCAGCCTGATGATTGTTTGGATTCAGCTGACCGCTCCTTGGGTCGCTACCCTTTTACAGTTATACAGACTCTTCCTACTATGAGGCTTGCTCTTGCTTGCATGGCTACCAGCATTGACAACCAGATTACAGTGAATGAGAGTACACTCATTTTGGTTTGCATTCATTGGACTGTTTTCCCTATTGTGTGGAGTCGTATCCCACCTCACCTGTCATGGCTACCTGTACCCACATACTGGCCTTGGTTGCTGTCTCGCAATGCTCCTGTCACCTGACAACTTGGTGAGGATAGTGCTTTCTTTTCACTCCGAATCTGGATAGTCGAGCTCCTCACTCCTGTTGTTCCCACCCCTCCTCTTGTGTCTGCTACAGTTCCTATTGGGTTGCTCTCGCCTCCTACTCAACCCCTCCCTACTTTGTCGGATCACCATGATTTTTTTCTCACAAGTTGCATGCTGATGGCTGTTTCACTCATTCAGGACACGATTACGACCATCCAGGATCTACTTTCCTACCATGCTGGCTTGTCATGTCATCGCCCTCGGCCGCAGATGTGTACTTCAGCAATGCTCTTTGGATTATCAGTTCAAGGCTCGATTGAATCAGCTTTCCTGGTCTTCTCCACGTTTTTTAGTCGATTGCATACTGGAGAAGTTGATCTCATTCTCCTTGAAAGACGACAGCTTCAGGAGAGGGTGAAAAAGGATCAACAGTACCCATGTGATCCCCTTAGCATTCAGGTTCATTTCATGGTTGGGTTAGAGGGCACCAGGGTCTTTTGGTTGGATTCCTCTTCAGTCGCACAGGGTCTCCTTTACGGCACAAAAGTGCTCAACAAGTCTTCTCGTGTGGGAACCACCAAGTGACATCGCTCCACTGCATGTGGACTGGAAACTTCCGCCTCCAGCCGTCCCCATCGCAGAAGCTTCTGTAGGAAGAAGACTGGGATTGTTAAAAAGAAACTGGGCTATCCTTGTCTACCCTACATCACAACGTTGCTCCTGAACATATATTGTCTGCCCTTGATTGCCATGCCTTCGATGACGTCCAGCCCTCCTCAGAGGGTGTATCTAGCCAGCCAGTTGCCAATTCTGGAAGAGACAATAGGTACTCTGCTCATAAAAGATGCCATAGAATGTCTCGTTCTGTGGTTTACTCACCTATTTTCCTCGTACCAAAGAAGGACAGTAAATATGTAAATTTTCAATGCGCTCTACTTGGAAGAACTGCCTCATTTCTGTATGACTTTGATTATGCTACTTCCTACACTTGTTGGTACCATTGATTTCCTGTTCAGCCTAGATTTATAAGACGCATTCCTATTTACCTGCACATTCCTATGCATCGGGAGCACCAGTTTGTTTTCCAAAGCTGCCACGTTTGTCACGCAGGATTGTTGGCTGAAGAACTTTTTGTTCTGCCAGCACTCAAACATCCGCTTCTGTTTCGACAATGGCAACAGATCCTTGGCCTTTTGACCAGCTCAAACACTAACGTTATGTAGTCAACTTCACCTTCGATCTTCGTCCGATTTAGTGATTCCTTGCACCCTTCATCCAAAGTGAAGATTGTCGAAAACCTTCCTGCTTCACTTGCAGCCAAAGAGTTGAATGTCTGCATCAGAGTCTCTTTGCGGCTGTTCTTTCTGACCCTGCATCTCTCCTTAGATACTTCAACCATGGGATGGGGAGCCCACTTTCATGATCTTCATGAAATGGTTTCTTCATCTGTCGATCTTCAGGTGGATCTGCCAACAAAACGTGCTTCTAGATGTCGACTCGTTTGCCACCAGATTCAACACTCAGCTATCCCAGTTCTTGTCGACCCTCAGGTTTGGGATCAAGATGCCCTGGCAATCTCCTTGGAATGCCTCAATGCCTCAATGCCATCTTTTCCCCTGACAGGTTTTCTTCCCTGGGTGCTTCAGAAGGTGGAGGCCACCAATCACTGGTTCTGATTCTAAGCGGGTAGTGAAGGCAATTACGGACGCTCATTGTCTTGGACGTTGTTGGATGGTAACCATGGTGATGCTAGGATGTGCTCGGGTGAATTGTTTTTTAGAATCTGGAAACTTTATATCAAAGAAGAAAGAACAAATGAAAAGTATGAGATAGGATAAGTATATGAATACAAATTTATAAAAAAAAATCCGACTTATGAGATTGTGCTTGACATCCGTTGGCTTCTGATTCCCCAGAGGATCCTGGTTACTGGAACTCATGTTCACAAAAAATTGCGATCTTGTGGTCAGTGACCTGTATTGTGTTGATCGTTGTCAGTCACTGACTATGCTCTGTTGCAGGCCACCATGATATACAAATGTAGCTGCAAAATTGAGTTCCGTTTAGGTCCAAATAATAATTATCATCCTGGATTGAACATATACTCTGCAAAAACTGAAATGCAAAAGTAGTAAAATCTTCTGCTGTAGCCAGGTTTTTCCACTGAGCACCAAGCTCCATTACAAGACTCTGGAACCGTCATCAGACACACAGCGCAGCACCTGACCTTTCAAGATCTATTTGACCACGTATCACTCTTAGAGCACAGGACAAATTCATACGACAACCTCACTTATATTATATGTGACAGAACTGGCATGGACACCTCTATAGGCAGTGGGCTAAGTATGACCCATGAGACACACACACACACCACACACACACCACACACACCACACACACACACACACACACACACACACACACACACACACACACACACACACACACACACACACACACACACACACACACACACACACACACACGTGTACACGTTTTTACAACCCTTCAAAGTATGGTACCCTTTATCGCGTTTTTGCCTGGTTTTGCCGTATATCACTAGGGGGTATGATTACATTTTGGGTTGTCATCTCACTACTGATCCACTGATCATCAAGGGTGATATACCCGTGGAAGCAATGTATAAGTACCTCTCCAATGATGTATCAATAATTGGTATTTGGTGAATATGGACCAACCTATGGCAAATCAAACATCATATTTCCCGGCAAAACCAAATTGTTCTCGAGGAAACCTTTAATCCGGTATATGTTCTAGGTACGTGTGCCTGATTCCACTATAATCTTCTAAAACATGTTCCAGTACATCTCTAGAAGTACTTCTTACCATGCGACGTTGCCAGTTGAAAATCATTTGCAAAATTTGAAACAAATTTACCCAAACCCAGACCACAGGAGTACCAAGTTGAAGAAAATTGAGAACTACTAGCCCTACCAAGACAGATTGGCATTTTGTCACATGGGACCTATCCAGTCGTTCATTGTGTGCAACTCACAGATTGAGGTTCACTCAGCTGTACGAAACGCCTATGAATTAGGTTCAACCAGAAGGGAAGATCCGCCACATACAGCGTGATGCTGATTTGGACAGATACCGTCAAAAGAACTGAAGATGCAAAAACTGCTTTGTGTGAAAACATTAGGTGTTTAGAATAAACTTGTGATATTGCAAGGAACGAAAGTGGATGTGGATTTATATGTGCCATTTCAAAGGATGTATGTGTAAGGATTTCTTAATTATTCCTAGGAATGTATTAGTATTAAACACAGTATATACTGTATATGTATATTTATGATAACACAACACATACATTACTTCGCCAGGGCTGACAATGTTTGTCATGTTGTACATACTATTTGTATATTGTCTTACCTTATCCTTAGCTATCCATTCACTTCCTGTTTTATCCATATCCCTGAATCTCACTCTCCTTATATTCCCAGAAAACGAAAACTCCAATAAATATACGATCCATTCTTGTATTGCCATGCTATGTACACACTGATTTGTCACTCAGCATATTGTCACAGCGTCCTAACATTCCCCGATCATTAACCCATAAGAAAAGTATGATTGTTCCCAGACTAAAACTGACGTATGGGAAATGATATATCTCAGTATCGCGTCGCGATTGGGGTG